CACAAGAAGAGCGGGGCATGAGAGATCAGGCGCTACGGGGTCCACCAGTTACCATGAGCAGCAGCCCGCCAGAGCTATCGGAGGCTGCTGCAGGCTCCGCGCTTGTCGGGCTACCAACGTGTCGACCGCCTTGCCAGTTCTCCCGCCCGCCGCGAGAGAGGAACAAATAGCTGCGCAGATCAGTCAGGACCTCGTGCGATTTTCAGGACTACGTAATCGCGCACGGGTGCGCGGCGGTTATCTGTCTATTCACTACGTATGGCCACCTACTACAGAGACTTCAGGTCCAGGGACTACTACATGTGACGGGCGAGAGGGGCAACCCCGACGGGCCCCACCACCTCCACCGCCCCCCCCCCCCCCAATCGCCCACCGCAACTATAATTGGGTTTTGCACAGCGACGGGTGCTACGAGGATCTTGGCTTGATTGAGTCTCAAAGGGCCCCCTCCACGGGCCCCTGCAAGGCCGCCAAGGAGCTAGCCCAGGGAATCGAGCCGTGTCAGCAACATGCGAAAAAGCTACTACCTACCTGCAGTGATTCAAACTATGTTAAGACTATGAGGGACAAAGGTAACAACAAAAACGGTTAGGGCTCCTTCCAACTTAGGCACAGGGACTAGCAACGTTGGTTAGTAACTCTGCACAGAACACAGAAGGGGCTCCATGCAAGGCTCACGAGACCACAAGCAGACGAGAGAGTATCGCCAGCCAGGAGATTTCTGCTTCTAACACAAAGAACGGAGGGCTACTACGCCCAGGCTACGACATCACAGAGTTCGCACCACTTCGGTCCGCATCCGTAGCATTTTGGCTCCATCTAACCAGGCTTCCAGATGCGAGCTACCACGTGGGCTCCACCAAGCGGGCTACGCAGTTACGCAGTTACGCCATGGTTCCATCTCCGCGCGGAGGCCGTGCAGTGGCGCGGGCGGACTCCCCGAACACTACGGGTGGTCAGCAGCAGGACGGCGTGAAGAACTGACCGGCCCTCGTCCAGCGAAACAAGCACCGCAACGGCCAGGGCGAGCTGATCTCTGGCAGCATGGAGTGCAGGCCCAATCTCGCCCACACGAGCCTCTTCACCAATCCGAAGCTCTTCGAAGACGGCCTTCCTCCAACGCAGTGGCTGGTGAACGGGCTTCAGCGGCAAGAAGAGCGCCATGCCAGCTCGCTCGGCCGCCTCAAGTCGAACGCGAGCCAGAATCCGTGCGAGGAGATGGAGAGGGTGCAGACGGTACTGCGTCTCGAGCACCATATCGACAAGGTAAGGAAGGCGCTCGATGCTGCATCAGGACTAGAGGGCATCTCTACCGATCGCTCCAGGCACCTCCGCGGCCCGCTCCCATGGGAACACGACTGCGAGCGCAAGCAGCTCGACGATATCGACGGCTACTACACCACCAAGTGGACCAAGGGCGCGAGCGGGATGGGCTACGACGTCGTGGAGCCGCAGACCACGCAGAGCCCGCTCCGCCAGGACACGACGCACAGCAAGTTCCAGCCGCGTGCGCCGTGCGGCAAGCCGAGCGAGCCTACTAAGGGCTGGGAGACCATGGACTACCAGGTCACGAGCGAGAGCGGAGACATCCGCGCAAGGTGCAGGTTTGCGGCGGCGGCTGCATGATGGGGCCTTGGCATGGACTGAATTGGAGGCCTGGGGGTAGATGCGCAACGGCCAGCGTGAGAGCTGGCACTACATATCCAACTCAGACTATTGCTGGGGTACTACGCTCGCAGGGGCAGTCTTATCGTATCCAGAGCAGGGCTTGCCAGAAGTTCTACTTTTACTATTGGGAACGGCTCTGCGACTAGTCTGCTAGCACTCCTGCCGTCCAGTGAGACGGCCACTACATTGCATGCTGTCGCCATTGCTGCTCTTCTCTCTCTGGGGGAGGGGTGTGTGGAGAGGGTGGGGGAGGGGGGGAATGTGACGAAAGGTCCCCAGAGGCGCGGCCCCGCTCACATCGAATGTGAGCAGCCGTGCCTCATGTTTTTTTGGTTCGTTCCCCAGCAGGGCAGGGCCTCCTGCATCGGGGCAGTGCGTCCCCTACTTCTGTGTAGGGCGCGCGCGCCCCAGGCTGCCCCGAGGGTCAAGCGATCCACGGTTGCTGCATCCATCTGCTACCTTGGGACCCCAGATCTAGTACTAGTGCCAAGACTAGCGCTCCCCGACGCGACGGCCTTATCCCCATCCTCATCCTTATCCTTATCCATATCCTTATCCTTATCCTTATCCTTATCCTTATCCTTATCCTTATCCTTATCCTTATCCTTATCCTTATCCTTATCCTTATCCTTATCCTTATCCTTATCCTTATCCTTATCATTCTCCTTATCCTTATCCTTATCCTTATCCTTATCCTTATCCTTCTCCTTATCCTTATCCTTATCCTTATCCTTATCCTTATCCTTATCCTTATCCTTATCCTTATCCTTATCCTTATCCTTATCCTTATCCTTATCCTCCTCCCCCTTCCCCTTCCCCTCCTACTCCCCTCCCTCCTCCCCCCTCCTTACCTCGATCCTTCCCCTCCTGGTAACCCTCCTTTTTCTCCTCATCCTCTTTACCCTGTGAGGTTGGGAGGCGCCTTCGCCGTATTGGGGAAGATTTCGGGGGAGAGATTCCGTGGCAGTCTCCAGCGGCCGCTCCCATTGGTGCCGCCCCCCTGCTTGGCAGGCCCACGGGCGAAGCAGCTGGGTGAGGATCCCGCCTTGGGGAGTCGAGAGAGAGAGAGAGAGAGAGTTAGGAGAGATATCCAACCAAACACAAGAGAGAGCTAGCGGGAGAGGGGGACCGGAGATATGGGCAAGGTAGGCACTCTCGCGCCATATCCGGCATCCAATCCGTCCCACCTATCCCTTCCCATCGTGCGGATTTTTCTGTATCCGCCGACGGGTGTCAGATCGGACCCCGAAGCCCTCCAAAAGGATATCATCGTGCTATGCTTTGGGTGTCCCGAAAGGGGGTCCAACTGAAACGGGGTGGTGCAATAGATTTTGGGCAATCCTATTGCACATGTATTGCGCCAGAGAATTGTATTGCATTGTATTGCAAACAATGAATTGCACGCGAACATGCAACGATACATTTGCGCCCCGAGATGTATTGCACGCCCCAAATGTATTGCAAACCCATAAATCTATTGCACTAGATCTATTACACCACCCCTTTGTCGCTGGACCCCCTTTTGGATCAACCCGATACGCGCAGTCAGAACAAAAGGGGGTTGTGTACATTGGATGAGGAGGAGGAGCGGGCGCATGAGCAGGGGGATGCGCAGGAGGAGGGAGAGGAGGAGGAGGAGGAGGAGGAGGAGGAGGAGGAGGAGGAGGAAGGCGGAGGCGGAGGCGGAGGCGAGGAGGAGTAAGGTGAGGCGGAGGAGAAGGAAAGAAGAGGCCAGAGGGAGAGGAGGCGGAGGAGGAGGAGGAGGCGGAGGCGGAGGCGGAGGCGGAGGCGGAGGCGGAGGCGGAGGCGGAGGCGGAGGCGGAGGCGGAGGCGGAGGAGGAGGAGGAGGAGGACGAGGAGGAGGAGGAGGAGGAGGAGGAGGGTGAGTGCCCACCCAGGACGTATCAATGGCGTTGCAATGCGCTCTTCCTCCAAGTTCCCTCTTCACAGGTCCCGACAGTGTCTTTTCATTGCGGACTGTGCCCCGTTGGAAACACAACCGTTTGAGAATTTTCACTCGTGTCCGCACGCCATACTTGGGAGTTCAACGCCGTGAACCAAGTCGACTGTTGCGTCCTGGCAAACTTTAGTCATGCCAGAACCTACTTCCAGAGATGTCAACACCGCGAATCAACTTGATTGTTGCGTCCTGATAATTTAGGATCGTGCCAGAAGGTCCTCCCTGGGACTTCAAGCGTACGAATCCTCTGAACTTTTGTAAACTTTCAAGACGAATGTGCGCGGCTTGAAGGCGATAACGACATTTTCAAAAGGAGCCGCCCTCCATCCCTGAAGCCGCTGCAAGCTTTGAGAACGAATCTGCGCGGGGCTACCGTGAGAGCCACGTTTGGAGAACGACCCCAGCCCCAGCTCCGCAGTCCACGGGGCGTGCAGGTGGCTGGCGTGCCCCCCCCTCTGACCAGGAGCAGCATCATGGCTGGATAAGCAAACACGCACGGATCCCCAGCGGGCGTCCAGCGCCCTCCCCGCACGTCTTGCGCCACGGGCCACCTCCCTGGGCGAGCTGCGAGGGCAGCCGAGGCGGTGGCAGACCCACCAACGACTTCGCACACGGGCGGCCCCGACGCGGCCCCGACTCCGCAGCCCACGTGGGATGCAGGTCACCAGCGCTGTCCACCACAAACACGCGCGGAGTCCTCAAGGCGCCCTCCCGAGTCTGCGCTCCCTGTGGGGCCACGAAGCGTGTCAGGGGTTTGCCGACCTGGGTGCGGTGCCGCCGTGTGGGCGCTGCCATTTGGATCTTCGGTGGAGCTCCCCATGGCTTATGGGGCTACGAGGCGTGTGAGGGGTGTGCCGAAATGGGGCGCTGCCACCATGCAGGCGCTGGCATTGGGGCCTTTGGTGGACTTCCCTACGGGGTGACTCACAGGCGCGCGAGGGGTGTGCCGAAATGGGGCGGTGCCGCCATGCGGGCGCTGCCTCTGGGGCCTCCGATGGACCTCCCGACCTCCCTGTGGGGTCACAAAGCGTGTGAGGGGTGTGCCATCATGGGGCGGTGCCGCCGTGCTAGCTCCCCGCGGGGCCACGAAGCGTGTGAGGGGTGTGCCATCATGGGGCGGTGCCGCCATGCGGGCGCTGCTACTGGAGCCTTCGGTGGAGCTCCCCGTGGGGCCATGGAACGTGTGAGGGTGTGCCGACATGGGCATTCGGAGAGCAGAGGCAGGAGGGAGGGGGAAGAGGGGAGGAGGGGTCATCACAGGATGCTTTGGAACAAGGAGGAGGAGTAGTAAGAAGAGGAGGGAGGAGGAGGAGGAGGAGGACGGAGGAGGAGGAGGAGGAGGAGGAGGAACATCGAGGGAGGGCAGGATACGAAGACAGAGAGGCGACGCGCGCGGTTGGAACTGGCGGCGGGGGGGCAGCCGAACAGGTCCGGCCCTTTGCGGCTGGCGCCCGACGCATGGCGGCGGAGCCGAGCCTTCTGGAGGCTCCTTTCCCTGGCCGTCGCCGTCGTTGCCGCCGTCGGCGCCGGCGCCGTCGTCGTTCGTCGGCAGTGGTTCGTCGTTCGGCCGTCTCGTCTTCAGTCGTTCGTCGGTTGGCTGGCACCTGGATCGTGGCTTAGTCGTCGTCTTCGTCGCCATTCGTCGTCGTCGCCGTCCGTCCTACGTCGTATTCATCGTCGTCGCCGTCGTCCGAGCATCGTCTTCCTTAACCGTTCGACGCACGTCATTCGTCCAACCTCGTCTTTCTCCTCCTTCCTCTCCTTCTCGCTCTCCTCCTCCCCCTCCTTCTCCCTCTTCCTCCCCTCCCTCTCCTCCCTCTTCTCCCTCTTCTTTCTCCTCCTCCTCGCCCCTCCCCTCTCTCTCCCTCCCTCTCCTTCGCCTCCTATACATACATATTTGTACACATACACATCCCTATACGACCACCGTTCGGGTCATGAGGAGGTTTCGGGGTGGGGGAGTTCAGCTTTGAAAGAGCGCTCTCGTGGCACGCTTCCACTAAAAGGGGGGGGCTTCAAAGCTACCTCCCCCCTTCCTCCATTTCGCGAGCTTAGGGTCGGCCCGGGCTCCCCTTTCAAAGGGGGTGGGGGGCTTCGGGAGTAAACCCGCCTCCTTTCTTTTCTCGTAGCCTGGATTGCGTTGCCGAGAGGGGGGTGGGGTCGAAGGTACGCCTTCCGTTTGGTCTTTTCCGGATCCGAATGTTCGGCTGGGCTTGCCTTTGCAGGGGTGGGGAGGGCTTTTCGGAAGTTATCTTCTGCCCCGCTCCTTTCTTATCGCAGCGGGGGGTTTGGCAAAAGGGGCCCAAACATGCGCCTGTTGCGTTCGCGCGGAGCATGTGTTTCCACGTGTCTCGGGCCACGATGGGGCCGCACGCGAGGGACTCCACTTGCGGGTGGCGAATTTTCGGCTCGTAGAAAATATGTGCGCGGAGGGGGGGGGGCCAACATGCCCCTGGCGCGTGCGCGCGAAGCAAGTGTTTTCACGTGTCCACGGGGCCCCAGGGGGACTCATCTTGGGGGTGGCGAATTCTTCACGCTTTGCGTATTCCCACCAGCCGTCTCTGGTCGGCTGGCGCGTCACTCCCCCGCGCCCCTGGGCGCCCTCCCGTGCCGGGGTGGCCCCCCGCGGCTGGGCTCCCGGTTCCCACGCCGGCTCGGTGGAGTTAGTTCCCACCTGCCCTGGCCTCTCCATCCCGCGCGAATCGCGGTTTCGTCTCCCTCTACGGTGGAGGGTACGGGCGCCTGTGGTTCAGCCTAGGCACCCTCGTGGTTCCACCACGCTGCGTCCGCGATTTCGGCTGCAGTGTCGGTGTATACCCTCCCGCCGTCTGTTCGCGTCTGTCGCCATCCCTGGTGTGTCGACCGCGGACTGCGCCCCCCTCTTTCCGGGGCTCGGGTGTGCGACTTTGCTGGCGCCACAACTCGCACCTGCCTGGCCTTGGCAGGCATCTTGGGTCACTCTGAGGTGCCCACCCTGATCACATCGCGGTGCCCCCACGCGCCATTTTGGCCGCGCCGCAGCTTCTGCGGCCCAGTTCATTCGCATCCAATTTATTGTAGTGGCCTCCGGCCAGTAGCCGCCGATCCGGGGCGCTCTGGGTGCCTGTGGAAATGAACGACGACGGGGAAGACGAAAACGACGACGAAAACGAATACGTCGACGACGACGTCGACGAGAGCGACGACGACAACGACCACGACGACGACGACGACGGCGATGACGACGACGACGACGCGAGCGACGACGACGACGACGATGACGCGAGCGACGACGACGACGACGACGACGACGACGACGACGACGACGACGACGACGACGACGACGGCGACGACGACGACGACGACGACGACGACGACGACGACGACGACGACGACGACGACGACGACGACGACGACGACGGACGACGACGACGACGACGACGACGACGACGACGACGACGACGACGGACGACGACGACGACGGGGGGGGAGCTGGGTTGCAGGGGGGGGGGTCTGCTCTGCAGGGGGGGTCCGCTCGGCAGAGGGAGGGGCTGCAGGGGAGAGGGGGGGTCCGCTCTGCAGGGGGGGGGGCTGCAGGAAGGGGGGTCTGCTCTGCAGGGGGGAGGGGGGGAGGGGCAGGGAGGGGGGGGTCCGCTCTGCAGGGCGGGCGCACGGGAGGGTCCGCTCTGCAGGGGGGGGGGCTGGGGATCCGCTCTGCAGGGGGGGGGTGCTCCAGGGGTGCTGCAGGGGGAGGGGGGTTCTGCTCTGCAGCGGGGGAGGTGCAGGGGAGGGGGGGGTCAGCTCTGCAGGGGAGGGGGGGCTGCAGGGGGGAGGTCCGCTCTGCAGGGGGGGTCTGCTGCTCTGCAGGGGAGGGGGGGGTCCGCTCTGCAGGGGGGTGGGCTGGGGCTGCAGGAGGGGGGGGGGGGGGGCTCTGCAGGGGGGGGGGCCGCTCTGAGGGGGGGGGGTGCGAAGCACTGAATTAGGTCGGAAAAGGTCGGAAATAGGTCGGAAATGAGGGTCCCCCCCCCCCGCAGAGCGAAGCTTGAGCGAGCTCAAGCCTTGCTGATTCCATTTCTCAGAGAGGCATGATGAACGATGACGAAATTAAAGTGTGGAAAAATGCAGAAAAATGTGAATTGCAAAGTGTGGAAAAAATGAGAAAAATGTGATATCACATGTTTTCACATTTTTTTCACATTTTTCCACACTTTGCATTCGCATTTTTTCACACTTCCTTTCGTTTGTCGCTGTGATGAGTGTTCATATGCAGTGTTGTTTCCATTGCAGTCACGATTGCTACTACTACTACTACTACTACTACTACTGCTACTACTACTGCTACTACTACTACTACTACTACTATCACGACGAGTATTACTAACTACTAACTACTACTACTACTACTACTACTACTACTACTACTACTACTACTACTACTACTACTACTACTACTACTATACTAGTACTAGTACTAGTACTAGTATTACTACTACCACCCGGACTACTACTACTACTATGATTATTATTACTACTACTACTACTACATCGACTACTACTACTACTACTACTACCACTACTACTACTGATGCAACTACTGCTACTGCTGCTGCCACTACAACTGCTACTACGAATACTACTCCTACGATTACTACTACTACTACTACTACTACTACTACCACTACGACTACTACTACTACTACTACTACTACTACTACCACCACCACTGGTACAACAACAACTGCTACTACTACTACTACTACTACGACAATTACTACTACTACTACTGCTACTACTACTACTACTACCACTAGTACTACTACTACTATTACTACTACTACTACTACTACTACTACGACTACTACTACTAGTCTTACTGCTGCTACTACTACTACTACTATACTGGTACTACTCTTACTATTACTACTAATGCTATATCCATTGCTGTTAATATCACTTCCATTATTAATACTACTACTACTACTACTACTTCTGGTATTATTGTTACTACTACTACTACTACTGCTACTACTACTACTTCTACTACTACTCCTGCTACGACTATCTTTACTAATGCTATCCACGACTAGTGATTACTCCTACTGCTTCCGCGACTGTTATTCCAGACTGTCATTGCTGCCGCTGCTGCTTTTGCTATTTCATGTGCTACTTTGTCACCGGTATTCCTGTTGCGACCTTTGCCACTTCCACTTCCACTGTCTTGGGTTTTGAGAGCCGCGCATTTGAGAGCCGCGCACTTGGATTGCCAAGGGGGTAGGGGGGAATGGGGGGGGGGAGGGGAGGCGGGCAGTGGGTGCGAGGAGGGAAGGCGAAGAAGAACAGGAGGTCCAGCAGGAGGAGGGATCGAGCGGGAGGAGGAGGGGGAGGGAGTCAGGCAGGGGAGAGGGGGAGAAGGAGGAGGCGGAGGAGGGGCGGAGGGGGAGGGGAGGGCAAAGAAGAGGAGAGGAGGAGAGGAGAGGGACGAGGGCGAGGGGCGAGGATACAGAGGGAGAGGGGAGGGGCAGGAGGGGCGGAGGAGGAGGAAGATGGGGGGGGAGAGGGGGCAGGGGGGTGATGGGGAGCGGAGGGAATCGCATCGCAAAGTGAGGACGAAGGGGGGGGAGGAGGAGGAGGGAGGAGGGAGGATGAGGAGGAGGAGGAGGAGGAAAAGGGGAGGAGGAGGAGGAGGAAAGGGGGCAGAGGAGCTGCTCCCGGGGATCGCCCGGGGATCAGGCACATGTTTCTGCAGTCTTGGAGTGGGCGGCGCAAACATCAAAATGTGAAAAAATGTGAAAAAGTGTGAACAAGTGTGAAAAAGTGTGAAAAATGTGAAAAAATGTGCTTCAATTTTGCGCCCGGGGATTCGGCGCATTTTTTTGCATTTTGCATGTCGCACGCGGCGCATTTTTTTGCATTTTGCATTTCGCATCCCGGAGATTTCAGGCATCTTTCCAGAGGCCCCCCCCCCCTGAGCTCTTAAGCCCCTGAGGGGCGTCCCAGGCGGCGGCAGTTCCAGGCTCTCGACGAAGGTAATTAAATAATGTCGCTGCGTTGTCCCAAATGCCATACGCTATGTTCAAGGTAGGTTGTAGGTTCTAGGCCTTGTTTTCCCTGGCTCGTGGGTTCAGAGAGCGCCGCGTCTTCGGGTTCCAGGCTGAGTTGGATTCTGAGGGGGAGGAGGGCCCCGAGAGGTCTGGTTCTCGGGTTCGGGGGGTCCAGGGGAAATCCGACGAGGGCGCGCGGGCGCCGTCGAGGTCTGCGGTCTCTTTGGGCTCCGAGGTTCCATGATGGCCGCGTCGGGGGATCGAGGCCCTCGGGCCAAGCAGGGCCCGGAGAGCCGCGCGAGGTTTCAGGTTTGCGGCCCCCGAGGTGCCGACGAAAGCCCAGCCTGTGAGCGCCCGACAAGGGGTCAGTCCGAAGGAGGGGCCAGTGCCCCGAGTCCGACCACGGCTTGGCGGCGCAAAACGCCACATGTCACGGTTGTCGCCTTCTCTGTTCTTCCGCGGCGG